GGGGGGGGGGGGCACCATTTTGAATGCCAATGTCTCAAGACATAACTCTAACATGTAGAAGTGAGGTTCATGATAGTGAATGGAAATTCTTGTTACATTTCAATTTGAAAGTGTATCATTCTACTTTTCAGAATGTTGATAATTGACATACAGAACACTTTTGCAAGTTTCATTTGGGTGTGAAATGTGAAGAACATAAATTACAAGTGTTTGTTAATCAGGAAACTGTCATATCGTCCAAAACATTTTGTCACAAATAATATGAAATGAAAATCAATTTTTTTGTCTAAATATGTGATACATGTGTACAAGGAATTGGTTGGAAAATCTCGGCATAAATGATCTTGTTTGGGCATAAATAGAATACCACCATGAAGAATAATGAATAGTACAGACTCATACTTTAGAGGATAATGTAGGCTCGATTCATCTGGCTGGGGGTAGGGACTAGTGGCACTGGCTCATCAGAAATGTAAGTATAGTTCTTGGCGATGTAATCGCCCACAAGACTACAGGCCATTATAAACCAGAAGATTGTGAGTAATGGGCTTTCTTCTGTGGAATTACAAGTAAAGATTAAAAGGCTGTAAGCTGAAGTTCACCTACAGCGAAAATACAGGTTTAAACCTTGTAATATGGATGGTGACAATGGTTTAATTCAATCAGAACCTTCGATTTTCTCGTAACAATACTTTTTCATATGATTCTTATACGTCTGCTAACCACGAAATGGGAGGGAAGACGTCAACCCTGCATGTGTAAAGTACGATGCTTTTCTAATGTCTTTTAATTGAATACAACATAAAAAGAATTTTAAAATTCTGCTTAGGAGTTCATGGAAGACCTTGACTCCGTCTACTTTCCAAGGAAATTACTCGGGTTTCTTTATCGTCTATAGCAAATAGATACCCCCTCTTTCGATTCTTGACCACACATAAGCACACCGTCTGCAAAAGCGCCACATGATGGTAGAACCACGATATAGCCAACGTCGACAGAAATCGTATTTTGAGTGAAGAAATTAGTCAAGGTAGGGTGTGACAAAAGTTTGGATTGGTTGCAACTTTATCACGTGACTGTGCAGATTTCAAAATGGCTGCCTCTGGATACATTGATTGTACGATAGCTCTCAATATAAGATTTAAGTTTATGGTATTTTAATCCATACAGCTTATTACAATGCACTTTAAAATGAAAACACGCAACAATGGGCTCACAAACGCTTGAAATTTTACGACAAGGTGTCTGGGCTTCGCTCACAGGAGGTTGGTTTTATGACCCACATCAGGATATTTTCTGCAACACATTTCACCTTTATATTTGGCTGTTTCTCTTATGTCTGCCGTTCACAATATATTTGGTAAGTACCACTTTTGTATCAGTTTTTTAATTTTAGATCGTACATTTACTGTGTGAACTTAGATTGGCGTGACCCGTAAATTGATATGCAGGAAGACTGAAGGAGGTCAAAGTCCTTATGTTGTTAACAACTTCAGCAATAGATTTAGACATTTTAATCCATATGCACTCAAATTACTAATTATGTTTGTGCAATGGATTGTTAGTCTCGTCGTGTGAGTTTGAAAATATAATGTGAAGTAGATCTCTCATAATTGCAAATTTCCTTTTAGTATTTCCCTCCAACGTTTCTCGTTTGGGGTGCATACTGTGCAACTATAGCACTCCTTTTTGCAACTTTGAAGTTAGCAAACTTTGGTCTGCATCACATGTATGACACATCAGAGTGCATCCAGGAAGTGAACGAGGATGGCCGTCCAGAAAGTGAGACGAGACACCAACAGATCCCCAAAGAAAGACGGTGTGTACTTGAATTATGTTTGTAATTAATCAGTTTTAGGTCTTAATCATTAAAATATTGAGAATTGTAAATTGGTTATGAATTTACCTGAAATTAAAAACTGCTAAAAGTGGAACAAATGAGTTCATAAGATGTCATTTGTAATTTTTGCATGCATGAATCAACTCTGCAGAATTAGTGAATGATTTAACAGCACTATTGAACGTTGAAGTGCATAATTTTGTTGTTTCTGCATGTGGTGTAATAGTCTTCCCTCTATACCTAACCTAATATTAGTATATTACGTGATTGTTTTTTAGAATGCATGAGACATGAATTCTGAGTTATTGTTGGGGAAACCTGATGCGAGGAGACCACTTGAGATAATTTGACAAAAAATAACAAAATTCTGTTAAAATGGGTCTTAAAGAAGTAGGATCCAATGGCAGGAATTGGATTTGACTGGTTCGTAATATGGTCTTGTGTCAAGCTGTTGTGAAAACAGTAATGATGCTTTTGGTTCTGTAAAAGTCTGGCAATTTCTTGACCAGCCGAGCAGCTGTCGCCATCTGAAGAATGACTTGGCTCCAGGTGGTCTATGGACAACCCACTACATGTGTGATTCTGTTGAAGGATAAAGAATAAACGTAGAATACAGAGGTCAAAATACAGAAGCAAGTTTTTCAACTTGCTGATGCTTGGTTACAGGGAGGAGGAAGGCATTGAACTGCAGGTTTTGAGCAGCAAGCGGTCGAGTGAGACTCCGCCTGTGGGCTGCAGCTCACGTAACTCATACATTGAGCCCCAACAAGGGGGTGGAACTGATGCAGACAGTATCAACTCTTCTGAATACCCGAACCAAGATTCTGTTGAGGACATGACCTTCAAGAACGGAAGCAGCACAATAGGTAAGTTAGGTTAGGTTAGTGCTATGAGACTGGCCGTCTTGACTGACTTTCCCCCAGTCCTTTTAGGTAAATGCTGAAATATGTGCCTGAAATGGGCCGTGGCTACTGTCTTTCACTTTCTAATTCATTTACAGGCATCCTTCCATTGAAACATGCTATTGTGAAAGCATCATTCATGTTGTTGCTGGGGTGGGGGTGGGGGGTTAAATGCCAGGTTCTAATGCTGAGAGAGGAGTTTTGACTGATGATGTAAATTTTGGAATGAAAAATTTAATTGACTTAAGAGTAATGGGAACTGTTATTTATAATTTATTTTCCTCCTCTTTGTTAGGAATGAAATGCTATTGAATCTTGTCACACTTATGATATTGTATGAAGGATGATTTGGATGGCTAGGCGTGTCTGGTTATTGCTCCAAGCCATTTAATAAACCAGAATCAAAGTAGTTTGTAAATTTAGTGTTCATTTGCCACATTTATTTTTATCCAAATTAACCACGTGCCTGTTATTTCTGGACAGTTTGATGGTTATTTGTTAAATGCTTTAATCTGTCAGTCTCAAAAAGATCAAATTATTTTCTTTTCATATTAACTGCATTTTTGTCCTGATTAGTGTTTCATGAAATGGGAGTGTAAAGTAAGTAAAAATCGCTTGTTTGAGATTGCTGTTAATACTAACTCTGAGGTCATGACCTCTGCATGAGATGTTTTGTGTTTCAATTCTGCCTAAACATTTCTTGGAAAGTAAACTGTGTATTTGTACATTAATGTACTGAGTGTGTGATGTTATGTTATGTTGCTTTTTTTTTTAGATCTAAAGGTGGATGTTCATCGGAAAAACAGTTCAGAAAGTGGCGAGGAAGTGGCAACACTGCGACCTGTAGTAGAGAGAGTTAGTGTTCACCGAGCAGAACAGTGTACTCAAGCAGACCATGAACGCTACAGAACTAAATTACAAGGTAATTCATCTTATTTTGTAGAGGTCATACATTTAAATCTTGGACTGGAGGTTGGTACCCTGACTTTGGGTTTTGATGGTTTACCTCAGTCCCTTCTGAAAATTACAGAATTATACCTCAAAATACTTTCGTCCACATCTTTTCCAATGAATCATTCAGAAATCTTACTCCTGTTTGACACCGCATAACCTAGGCAGTTGAAGAGCATTAACTAAATATAGCAGAAAGAATCATTGTCTTTAAGTGTGTTGTAATGACCTGGGGTGACTGTAGTTCACAGATTTGGTAGTGCAATTAGACATATTTTTCCCTCTTATTAAATTTATAAGTAGCTAGCTTTTTTGGGACTTGATGCATAGATGCAAAGGAATATGTGTGTCATTATGTAATGAAGCTCAGCTGCTTTAATTTCTACACCTCAGAAAGTGTACATGAATTTAAAATAAACTACACTGCACTGTAATTGATAATTTTTTCATTGATATAAACAGTATTGGAAAATATGAGATATACCCCTCTATAAATGGTCTATCAGATCATGATGCCCAAGTATTAATACTTCATAAGGCACAGGAACAGGGAAAAGGAACGGTTAATAAATAACGATACTATAACAGATTTTCAATTAAAACTAAGTCAGGAAACATGGGAATTAGTTTTTGATGAAAATGATATTAATAATAGTTTTAACACATTTTTAAATATTTTCTTAAAAATTTACTATTCCAGCTTCCCTTTGACACAGATAAAATGTAAACAGAAAAATAATTCTTGGATTACACCAGGAATATTAATGTCCTGTAAACATAAACGAGAACTTTGTAATAAATTAAGGAATAATAAGGATCCTACTCTTAAAACTTATTACAGAAATTACTCTAAAATATTGACCACAGTTATAAAAGAGGCAAAAAGAATGGAGTATGATAAATGCATTCTAAATTCTGATAATAAAATTAAAACTACTTGGGGTATTATAAATAAAGAAGCAGGTAGAAATACAAATAGAGTTGAAATAAAAACACTAAAAATTGATGGTAAGAAGTTCAATAACCAACAAACTATTGCTGAAAAATTTAATAATTATTTTGTTAACATTGCAGAGAAAATAAAACTACAAGATATTAATAATCCCGTAATTGCAAATGATATTAATGATGATGAAAATTATATTCATTTCATGAACCAAGCTTTTTCTAATCCATACCCAAATATGAATTCCAAATGTTGTACGAACAAAGAAATAAAAAAAATAATAAAATCCCTTAAACTAAAAAATTCGCATGGATATGATGAGATACCACCTATGATTTTAAAAATAAGCTCGTCATTTATAAGTTCACCTACCAATTATATATGCAATAAAATGTTAAGGAGAGGAGTATTTCCGGATAGATTAAAATATGCATTAATAAAACCATTATATAAGAATGGTGATATATATGATGTGTCTAATTATAGACCTATATCACTTTTAACATCTTTTTCAAAAATATTTGAAACTATAATGTACTCAAGAATTTTGGATCATCTCAATAAATACAATATTTTAAGTACTGAACAATATGGATTTAGGAAAGGATTAAAAACAGATAATGCAATCTATAAATTGACTACAGAGATTTTAAATGCCATGAATAACAAACAAATAGTGGGAGGCATCTTCTGTGATTTGGAAAAAGCTTTTGATTGTGTTGATCATGAAATTTTGTTATTTAAGCTTAAATTTTATGGTATCAATGGGAAAGATCACGCACTTTATGAATCTTACTTAAATAACAGATACATTAGAACAGTATTACATACTAATGACAGTAACAATACAGCCTCGGATTGGCTTAAAGTTAGATATGGAGTTCCACAAGGGTCTATATTGGGACCTTTGTTGTTTCTTTTATACATAAATGATTTACCCAGTATAATAACTAAATTTGCTACACCTATAATTTTTGCTGATGATACTAGCATCCTATTTTCTCATTCTAATACAAACGACTTTAATAAACACATTCATGCAACATTTGAAAATATAAATAGATGGTTTAGAATGAACAGATTATCACTAAACTTTAATAAGACACATTATATTAATTTTAAAATTAAGAGAAAAATGTCAGATACTGTTACAATAAGTTATAATAATAAATTCATTAATAATATCTTCTGTACTAAATTCTTGGGAATTATGATTGATGGTGCATTAACTTGGAAGAATCATATTGATCTACTTATTAAAAAATTGAGCAAGGCTTGCTATGTAATTAGAAATATGAAACCATATATGTCTATTTCAGTACTAAAGACAATTTATTATGCTTTCTTTCATTCCTTAATGAGCTATGGCATCATTTTCTGGGGAAATTCATCTAGTAGTTACACTATTTTTCTCCTTCAGAAAAAGGCAATTAGAACAATGATGGGATGTGGCAATAGAGTATCGTGTAGAAATATATTCAAAGAATTAGATATCTTACCGTTGGCATCACAATATATATTTTCTTTATTATTGTTTGTATTACAAAACAAAACTCTTTTTCCATCAAACATTGACTCTCATACTATTGATACTAGACAGAGAGAAAATGTGTATCTACCTCAAGCCAATTTAACTATTTATCAGAAAGGAGTTCACTATGCGGGTATAAAGATATTTAATAAATTACCCACAGAGGTTAAGAATACCTCAAATAATTTTAAAAAGTTCAAGGTTGCATTAAGGAATTTTTTAATTACTCACTCGTTTTACACTGTGGATGAGTACTTAATTGGATAACTATTGTAATAAAAATACTAATTATATTGTCTTGAATTTAGTACGCTGCTTGTCTATATGTAATTTTTTAATGTATGTATTTTATGTTTTTATACTTGAGTTTGTGACATGTTCTATATCCACTATTGGATTCTTGGAACTTGTAAATTAATAAAAACAAAAATAATAATAATAACTAAATAAGTGTTCCCATTGTGATTTTGTGGTGCTAGGAGCCTGTGCCTTGTTATTGTGATCAGAATCATTTTTGTACGTGACTTATGTTCCATCTTTCTCCCAAATGAAACAGAGTGTTTCCCAAAAGAATGAAATACTCATTCCCGGTTGTATGGGGCAATGTCTAGTGCTTGTGTTTTTTATCTGCTAGGGCATGTTTCTGCATATGAAACAGTCTGAGTCTGCAGTTTCTCATTTATATTATTATTACTTCTAAAAGATCGTACATAGTACTGTGTCTGCCCATCGTGTACATTGCCACAGTAAGTCAGAGACACGCAAAACAAAGTAAATGCTAGTTTCAGTGTTATTTGTCAGCAGAGAGCAGATCAAAACGCCAGAGAGCATGCGGTGGTAGTGTCTCGGTGCCTGTTATGGATGATAACAAGTCTGCAATGTCTCGAATGAACAAGAGCCCCAGTTCGAACAAGCTGTCTCGCCAAACCTCTTCAACAGATTCCCAGGAGGATCACAGCAGTCAGGGAGCAGAACTAAAGCCATCACTTGTTTCTGCGGTAAGACATCACATCAGCATGTCTGCCCTTCCTCCTCCCTGCCAGTAATGATCGGACCATACCTGCTACTAACCACGGTACCATTCATATTAGTCGAGCTTTGAAACTTGGAAGGAAGTGACTTTATAAATACTTCTTAACAGTATTTGTTGCAACATTTTGGATAATTTCTGTGGTTAAGGTACATGTAGCTTGACATTTTATCTGCAACATCATGCTTATTATATTACTGTAAGAACTTGTCATTATCGCTTTCGGTGGACTAGTGGTTAGCATGCTCGCCACCGGACCCAAGGTTCACGGGTTCAAAACCGGCAGAGATCGATGGATTTTTAAGGGTGATAAAAATCTGTAGCACAACTTCCTTCGGTGGGGAAGTCAAGCCGGCGGTCCCGTGTCATAGATTTACGGCATGTAAAAGAACCTTACGAGCATGAAACGAGATGTTCTGTAAGCAAAATTCAGCGGCCATTTCTCACCCAAGTCTCTCCTGATTAACGACTAGATGCCTCTAGCAGACAAATCAGGATTGAGTAGAAATTGTGCAGAGGCAGTGGGCTTGTCACTCACTACTCATAAATGCACACTTCAAAGACAAAGAAACCTCCCACATGGGAGGAGGCCAAGGTTTGAATTCGGGCTGTAGCGCCATAGAAGAACAAGAAGAAGAACTGGTCAGTACAGATTTTGATTTGTTTAATTATCTGTGTGAGATCAATAACCAGAATATTTTATGTCACAGGAGACTGGACCTGGCATCTCCAGTTCCACAGTTTCTGTTCCTCCAGCCAGACGATATTCCAATGCTACAAGTCACAATTATAGTATTCTGCCAGTGGCCATCAAGGCAACTGGGTCACTTGAACTGGGCGGGTACATGCTGGATGCAACGTCTGATAACACCTCTACCCCCAGAGACAAGGGTAAGTACTCGGTAGTGGGTTATTTGCATGTAAAAGCAACAAACATAACATGGTTGGGAAAGAAAGTGTTTGTTCTCAGCTAATGGCTCGTGACCATAGAGTGATTAGGTCTTTTTTCTTATAACTGTGATATGTTGCAGGTTTGATCTACTGGAAACAGCAGAATTCACGCGGTGGTGTGCGACGGATACGTAGTGGCATGCTTGACTCCTGCTGTCCGCCAACCAGTTTTGAATCTGGGATTGTTGATGGCCGAGGCGCTCACTCCAGCGACGGTGGGTCTCGACACGACCCCCCACCCTCCGCTTTGCTGCGTGGCCGTCTGTCCCTGTCACCGTACTATGGCTATGGCAGTGAGATTGTGTACCCCATTGCAGAGCATTCGGATGAACCGGCTCACAGCCATAATGGACCCGACGCATCTGCCGCAGACGGCAGCACTCTGTCTCTTCGCCCAACGGTTGTTCCCGATTCTGATGATTGCGAAGATGAAGAGGATAATGCTGGCTCCCGATCTCCTTTACTAGTGCGTCATGAAAGTTTTGAAAACAAGACTGTCGTAGGGTCTTCAGATAGTGGTGGTGGTGGAATTGGCAGTGGGGAGAGGAGAGGAGGCAAAGAACCGAGGTTCTCATCGTCCAGCTCAGCTAGGACTAGCAGAAAGAAATGTGTAGTGTCCAGTAAGTCAGGGAACTCGTTCAGCACAGGTTCTTTGGATCAGTCTGTGTTCCGAAAACATTTTCCTGTCGTGGGCAGCGAAGATGTATTAGGCGGGGATATGTTGGCAGACCGGACTAGTGCTTCCTCCAAAGATGGCCTACTGGCAACAGAAGTTTCAGTGTCTGTGGGGGTTTCTGGCCTGGCCAATGGTGAACACGTGCCTGAGGGTTGTGGCAGCAGAAGATGTTCAGACAGTGATGGAGCTGTCAGTGAGTGTGATAATACTGACAGCCTGAGTGACAGCAGCAGGCAAAGACACCGACATTCTTTGAAAGCGACGCTCGCTGAGGAAGGTGAGTAGCCGGGATATGTCTTAATAATCTTTGTCTCATACACTTTAATTTGAATGTTACTTCGTTTTATTTCCAGCAAGCAGCCATGCCTAAAGAGTCTTTCAGATCTGTGAAACTCAGGATGCAAGTTATGTGTTTGTGGACCATAGTCTTCTGGGTTATGACACCGTGTAGTCTTGTAGGTGGTTATCATTGTTTCTTTAGTATCAATTTAAAATTTTAGCTGTCTACAAGACATTTTATGGTATGAAGCCAGTGTCTGGGATCCATGGTGCGAGTTAAAATCCAGGAAATGCCGCATTGAGTACACGTCTGTTACACTAAGAAAAGTCCCTGAATATGACTTTATGAACTGAAACTTGCAGTGCAGTGATTAATGTTTCAATAAAACAAGGGTGTGTCAACTTTAATACTATTGATATTTATTAGTCAGAAGATTTATCAGATGTGAGATCACTACTGAATTTTGTTGTCACTGGAATGTGGGCATAGCTTAATGATTTATTGTTTCATTCCAATGCATTGAACTCTTTTATTAAAATACAAGGACACTGAAGATAATACAGAAAAGAAACTTTGTATATGGTATGTGTTGATTTTTTAATATCACTGATGTCTTCCAGTTCTGAACATTGTTCTGATACTTTCTCTGCCATTGCATCCTTTGGAAGTCTTTCGTCCATATGTTGGCCTTCCTTCTTGGTGACATTGTTGTCAGTAAACAAAGAACAGAGTAAAACAGAATAAAGTGTGATGTCATAAAACATGTAAAGAAGGGAGCACTTCCTTGACTGAGACGCATCTAGAAAGATTCTTCCCACAACTCTTGAAGTGGAGGATCTGCAGGCTTGCAAGTGCTCTTCAAGTAACTTGCTTCTCATATATTTGTTAATTTATCTGAATTGTCAGTAGGTGCAAGAATGAAGTGTGATGCCTCCTGGCACCAGCGATCTGAAGGTGGCATAGATGCTGCTCCTGCCGCTGAAGTACCGAGTCTCGTGGGGCTTGATTGGCTTTTTGAGCACACTGACAGCGAACCTGATGACACACCACACTCCAATCCTGGTGAGTTCTTTTATACAGTAGAAACTTCAGATTGGCTGCTTCTTTTTACATCCTTTCCCAAGTCATTGTTCGTTGGTCACCCTGTCATTTGATGCTCTGTGGTCTGAACTGCTGACAGTGTCATTAAATAAACCATAAATAAATTAACTTATGTTCAGCATAGAAGTGATGAGAGCTGCGAGGGTCGTGGGTTTATTTCAGAAAACGGAGGGTAACAAATTGGGCCTTCTTTAGGATGACTGACAGAACGTCAGTCGGATAGAATGGGCAGCGTGTTTGTATCTGCGAGACTGCACTGTCAGGAAACGAATCACTTATTCCAAAAAGGCTGTCACTTCACCAGTTGGCATGATGAGCCCCACTTATTTTCATGTTTCCCTGTGCACTCCAATCTAGAACACATTCACACTGCTTTCCTATACATATACACTGTACCCTCAGTTGTACCCAGAAGATGGATTCAGAATCTTCCTCTGAAATGTTGGAAGTTTCTCCCAGTGCTAGTTGCCATTACAGTGTATTAAATTACAGTTTATTAACATTATAATAGAAATTCATAATAGAATGTGAACCAGGGATTGACTTGCTAAAGAGATGCAGATTTATGTAAATTTCTACATCAGCGGTTCATGTTGTGTGGAACTTTAATAAGGCAGATGCAGTGGAAGGTAATTTACTGTTAAATTGCTCACACTGACTCTTCGGTGACTTCTTATGTTGTAAGCAGTATTGATATTAGACACAAAGCCTTCTGTTTCCATGGCTGACGTAATCACGTATGAATGTATTGGTTGGATATGGAATGGCACAAATGCCATACTCTTATTGAATCTTTTGCTGTTTGTTAATGATTTCTTATGTTAGTGCTGGTGCCTTGAAATATGTCATGGTTCAATTCAAAACTGCTCAAGCCCTGACAGCGAGTGATCTGCTAAGCTATGCACTTCATCAAAAGCACAGTGTGATGTGTTGGTCTTTGCTGGATATATCGGTGCTTCTGTCTAGGTCATTGTGATAATGTTGTTAGTGATGTTTTAAGTTTCACCGTTGCTGGCTTAATGTCATTGATTTTTCAATTTTTATGGCTTCATGCTTTCACAGACCTGTATTATGCTATCTCATATATCCATTATGTGCATAGGTGTTACCTTTCTTGATTTGCCACCGTAAGTTGCTGCTGGTGAATGTGATGTAAAATCATCCTGTGTCCTTTGTGGTCTCTTTTTGGTAGTAACAGTGTGTTAGATATTTACAAGCATTTTTGCTGTGCGGTGCCTTGGGTGGCAAATAGTATAAGAGGTGTATGATGTCACATCCTCTCATTTTTATAGCGTAGTATATTAATCTGTTGAATCCAGACAGTAAATGTGAACTGAGGGTGTAGTTTTCTTTTTTCTTCTCCACCTAATTCCAGCAAATAACAAAGCATGTTACTGACGGTCGCTTATCCATAATTAATTCTTGTCTGCAGCCTTTTTCACTGTTCTTCTTTCTCATGTCTCCCTCTCTGCTTCCATCTCTCTTTTCTTATTTTGCTGCATGCCCTGCCACCTAGATGCCACACTTTGGAACTACACACACTCTGACGACGACGACGAGAGAAGCTGCGGAGATGCTCTTCAGTCTGCCACAGACTCGGATGGACACAGTGAGTAGTGTCTCACGTGTGTTGGTTTTAAATGTGCGCTTACTCCTGTTTGCTTGTGATACTGAGTCTTGTCTTTATAAAGCGATCTCTGTAGAGATGATTCAGAATCATTACCGCTGTTACTGGATTTTGCTCTTTAGTTTACACACCAGTCATTCATTCCAGAAACCATTTACCATGACTCGAGGTTTTTTTGTGAGTTTCCTCAGTCTATCTGGACAAATAGCGTGTGATGACTACCTTCCACAGTCTTATAACAAGCCTGTAATTCCATATTTGACAGAATTTTATTAAATGCGTCAAGAAACAGTTCTTGAAGAAAAAGAATTGAGTTTGGAAATAAAAAGCATATTTTGTGCTGCAGAAGACTGTGTTTGACTGATGAATGCTTTGTCATGATTTAATGCATGTGTTTCTTATTTGTGTTGCTACTTTTATTATCGTTTCTAGATGTTAAGGACAGTTTCTATTGCACCTGTTGTAGTATGTACCATGAATCTTTGGAGTGTCTAACATTAACAATTATTATGCCTAAATATGGTGTTTTCCTTTTACTGTGGAATGCGTGCAAATCGTACATCTGAGTTAACTTCTGCTGTATACATGTAGAGAAATATCACTAGTATCAGCTTCACGCAAAATGTTATTGAGTAATCATCTCCCAAGGTAAGTGTGTAGATGAAGTTACTAGGTACCAGCAGTGTGTATTCCAATGTAGCAGAGCAAATACTGATCACTTTTTCAAGTTTTCCATAGCAGTTTTAGCCCCAGAAGAATTAGCCTCAGGTACTAATGCCTCAGCTCTGTATATTTTAGTCTGTCATTATCTGTCGTCATTGATTTCATAAAAAATGATATTTTTCCACCTATTCAAAATACTGTGAGAATCTGCAACCATATCACCATTTTTGGCTTTTACTGTGTTAATTTTAGGTAGGCAGACAGGCTTATTGCTTATTAAATTTATTTGTGCAATAATATTTTTATTTTGTTTGTTTAAAGCTCATTAATTTTGCCTTTCAGATGTTTCTTCTTTATTTTCCTGAAAGTTCTGTTGTTTCATGTTTTACATTGTTCATATTGTCTCAGTTCCTGCATTCTTTGATCTACTTCTTGGTTAAACCATTAACATACAACATTTTAAGATGTTATTCTAGTGCAGCTTCCAATTCAGTGTTCTCATGGCCACAATGTTGGTGTTATTGATGGCGGGAAATTGTGAACTACAAAGGTCGAGTCATCTCTAGTCACATATTTCTATCTAAATCTGTTGGCTGGTTGAAAATCTGTTAATAATTGTCCAGACAGTTGGATGAATGGGCAGATAGCGTACATGTCTTATGTTATGAAGAGAAGGAAATGGCCAAGAAAGAGACAGTGTTAAAGTGCATTGATTGAGTAATTCATTTAAATTATCAGTTTAGTGAGTGTGAAAAGAAGTGTAAGATGTCTAAAAAGAAGCATTATCATATGCAGTATCATTAGTTCCCATGAAACTGAAGCACAGGACCATTTCGGTCCTCATTTTGTTTAATTTCAACCAAAAAAATTTTCTCATATCATTCAGTATAGTGTGTGCTGGACTGAAACACGCGTCTTGCTTTATGAAAAGCTTCAGACACTAGCTTAATATTGCTTATGGCGGTGGTGAGAATGTCACTACTGTTGCTGGTGCTGAAGTATTTCTTATATCTGAGATTGTGGGTTGATGTGTGTGTGTGTAATCATACAGATAATGGAAACAGCAGTAAGGAGACAGATGCTGAGTCTGGGGGAAGTTCGAGTACCACCACATTGAGTTTTGAGCCCAGCCTTGAGGTTACGAAACTTCTGCAAGGTCCACCTGGAGAGATGGTGTCTGGTGCCAAGAACCAAGGAGCGATCCCAAAACAGAGAACAGGGATTCCTGCAGGTTTGTGTTGCAATAAGCTTGAGTGTTATGTTGGATGTTGTCCATCATCTTGGTTATTTGTTTAAAAACACGCAACATTTTGGGACTGGATCTGCCTCCATCATCAGGTGAAGGCAGGCGAGAGGGGTGCCTACATCTGGTGGCTCCCTCAGACAGTGTTTGTCTCCATCACTGGACACTTACTGAAGTCTAATCCAATTTATATATACTCATAGTGTCAAGTATCATCTAAGGGGAAACCAAATAAGTAAATCCTCTTAAAAGATTACTGAAGAAACTACTCTCTGCTTCGTTTTTTACAACTATGGAGAGAGATGAGATAATTATTTTGGCAGTTTTGTGAATTGTGCTGCTATGTTTATGCCATTTATCCTTATATTTTGTCTCTAATTTCATCCACATTTAAGCGTTTTGTGGTGGTGTTTGTCTTGTTAACAGAATCGTCTAAGGGACCGGCATCCAGACAGCATGTGACGGCTGGTGATGCGGAACACAGAAGACAGACCAGGAGGCCAGCAAGGGGCCGAGGTAGTTGAAATTATTTCTGTTCGGAGTTCGTTTAGTATTGAGCAAGATGAAGTATGGGCCGTGCCATGACACAGGCAGTTAGTTGCCAGTTCTTACTGTGGTGACTGGGATTCACTCCCAGGGCAGTCCCTGTGGAATTTGTGATACACGAAGTGGCACTGGGGCAGGTTTTTCTCTTAACCAAACCTGGCCAAGTTACCAATGCATGCTAGATTGAATACAGGTGGCAGTGTCTGTCAGTGTTGGAAAGTGCATTTGGCAGTGCCATGTCTTCATTAGTAGTACAGGCTTGAATTGTAGCGTAGTATTAGCTTGCAAACAGTAGATAGCCTCCAGGGTCTCAAAGTGTAGTTGGGTACTAGCATAGAAATTGTAAATACTTGTCAGATCTCAAACACTAATTGTGACTGGGCCTTAGGTAATAGCCACCTACCAGTATAGAAATTGTGAATAGTGACTGGGCCCAAAATAATAGCGAGCAGAGCACAAAAGCTGCGTATAGTGGCTGGGTCTCAAACAGGTTTCAATAGTAGGCACTAGCACAAAAATTGTAAATAGTGGTTGATATTAAGGTGATGGCCAAATGCTAGAATACAAATTACGAATAGTGGCCAGGGCAGTAGTAATAGTAGGGTACTAAGCCGACAAATTCGAAATACTGACTGAATGCTAGCACAGAAGTAATAAATAATAGCCACATCGCAAATATTAGTCTTGTACTTGCTCAGATACTGTAAAGAGTTGTTGGGTACAAGTACAGTAGCTGACACTCATCATTGCTTTGCAGAAACAAGGTGTAGCTGTTCTTTTTGTGTGATACATAGAACGTGTTGTGAAACAGGTCACAGTGAGATGGCAAGTGGCAGTGTAGATAATGGAGTAGGGGCCTCTACAAATAAACAAGTTCGCCTGCTTTGCAAGGAGTCGAGGGGCGGAGCTGAGAGAGAGAAACTTCCGTCCATACCTGCAGAAGGAATTGAAAATCATGGTAATTTTGGACTGGAGAATATGGATTACAAGCCCAGTTTTGCTGAGTTGGTAGTTGTGGCAGTAATGTGATAGATTCATATTTGGGCAATACGCAGATTCATTCCCATGTAAATATTCATCAAAAGTTGGTATTAACAAATTGAAAATTTGAAGGAGACAACAGAGCAAACATGTCAGAATTTTAGTGCTGTGTGTACATTTCCTGACCTCCTTCCAGGTATTTGATATGTGGTCATACACATCCTTAGAGGCTTGTGTTTACTGAAAGTTTCAATTGATGGAAAATGTTTACAGAATTTGGTATAAAGATTTAATATGTTGGCCCTGAATTGAATATACTGAGGCATCCGATGTAGCAGGATATTGAGTGGATCTTATGTTAATTTAAAATGACTGTAACTGGAAGTTTGCAGCTGGTGGAAGAATTTTCTGGTGTCTCTTTCTACCCATTGTGTGGGAGCCGCAACTTGTTGGTTTAGCTGCATTTGTACCATATTCCTATCCGGCTTGTGCTTTGTGATCAATATTCTGTTATCTGTGGCACATCCATACAATACTTCATTTACTGAACAGAATGTTTCTGCATTCTTCCAGCTGTTATGTCATCCTCACCACAGGATCATCCTCTAACATGGCAGAAGAAGCGGGATCTGATGCCCAAGGCGGGCAAGGAATCAAATCCAACGGGAGAAGGAACGAGCGGTTCGTCTGGCTCTGCAACGGAGTTGAGTTCGTTGTTGCCACCGCCTGCCGTGCCTCTCCTTGCGACTTTTCTTGCCACCAGGCGAGAAGTCCCTTCGGGGTATTCCTGTGGACCACCCGTCATATCTACTGATCCTGTAGATGCTGTGGTCAACGGTGTAGACTTGTGGGCAAATGTCCGTACACAACATCGGAGACTTAAGAGATCTAGTAGAACGCACAGGTAACTGTTGTGTAAATTGTTCTTTGTTCAATGTCAAGTCAGATCTGGCCTTAAACCTTTCTTCCTAAGAACCATCTCAATATTATCATCCCATTATCTTATCATTCCTCAAGGTAACCACTTTTAATATCCATTTCATGTTATTTGTGATTATATATATATTCTTCATAAATGAGCCTTGAACATTTACTTTTATAGGTCTCGACCTGGTGGCCGCAGTAATGAGCCTGTGCCATGTTCTATACCATTGGCAGCTCTGGCATCGGCGGTGGCAGGAGGTGGCACTGGGACGCACATAGCGACGTCTCATGACGACACCTCTGAAGGAGCTGTTCATTGTTTCCGGGATGAACACGGGAACTGGCTGAGTTACACTTTTGCAGAGAAGGGAACAGGGACAGCCAACATGGGCGTGATGCCTATAGCAGCTGCTGCGGCTGCCACAGCCAATAGCAAGCTGCTTAGCACTTTGCTCAGGTACAGACCTTATTGTGTATCTGCGTAAACTGCATAATGCTGTTTTATGATTCTTTTATCGGTTTTCTTGAGAATGTTTGTCTCAATTCTGGAGTGGTTTATTTCTTGAGGTGCAGTCCACAAGTAACATGTTACGATGATGACATTGACAAATAACTGGCCCACAAATCCTGGTGGTTATAATTTTCCTCATGTTACACTTTTGTTTACTTCTTCTCTTGTAGTAGAGGAAGTTGTTATGTAATTTGTTTTGATAGTTTTTGTAGAATGTGTGACGATTAATAAAGTTCCGAATTATCAGTACTAACTGCAATACACTATCATCAGTACTCTTTAAGATTGTTTTGGAGTTACTTGGAGCAAACGCTTGCACTTTATCAGCTGAATTCCTGATCTGTTGCCTCCCTTGGCAGCTGGAAGTCCAAAATTTGCTGATTTTTGTAGTATGAAATTTGAAGTACAGATGATGCTCATTATACATGCTTACACTATATCCATTTTTGCATATCCTTGTTTTTGTTTCATTATCATGAGCATCAATATCTTATCCTTAGCAAAATTTTAAAGCCTATTACCCATGTGAACATTCTCCAGGCTTATCAGGGAATATGATGTAGATGATAAGCTTAGTCTCAGAGAATTGTGGTACCAGTTTAACATCAAAATGGTGATTGTTATACATTTTCCTTTTTTTACACATTTTCATTATATGTGGCAGTTTACAGGAATACAATCCTTATGTTTAGTGAAAGTCACTTGTACTACATAAGTGTCTGTTGAATTGAAGTGTGATTGTAATGTTTTGCCCCATTGTCATATTATGAATTGTCTTGCATCCAGGCAACAGCACCGTCATTTGGGAGGGGGTAGTGATCCGACGACCTGGGATGCCAGTGTCACTGGTGGGGGAACAGACTCTCTATCAAACTCTTCAGCGTCGATAAACTCGTCTGGGCTCACGGTGATTCTGGATCGCCAGACTAATGTAGGAAGCGTCACTCCTGCTGCTGCATGCTGCCACTATAAGTCTTCTGGTGGTCAGGCATCCTATTCCAAAGGCATTGCCCCTATCCCTCTTCTCCCCGTTCTTCCGTCCACTTCGGCATCATCCCATCTGCACCCAGGCGGTGTGTATATCTTAGAAGCCGTTGTCTCTCCATCCTCTGCTGGTAGCCAGCAGCGCAGTCCATTCCACATCCTGTCTGACATGCACATAGCCACTGAGAGAAACAGGTAAGCTTACGTCTCTGCCATTAAGTGGGTTACGTTGTATTATCTGCATCACCATGGTACTGATTTTGACTTTGCTCATTCTTCTGGCCACCCTTCTGTAAGAAGTCAACATAAATGATGCCTACAGTACCTGTAGGTACTTGCGTTCTGGCAACTTTGCCCCCACATGGTGTTCTGTAAAGGATAGGGCTTCAGAGTAATTAGAAATTTGTATAGCTAGCTTGAAGTTACTATTTATTGCATGTTTTGTCAAAAACCTATTTATTTCAAAAAATTTGTTAATTAGGATTGCATTAAAATGTGACTTGGAAATTCTACTTTGGGCTGAACTTTTTGTTTTACCATCATGTATATGATAATTTGAAGGAAAGTAATTGCCTTGAACTGTGCAAGATTTAGTGATGCCATTTTCGTAATAAAGATGACGTGTGGATATGGATTTGTCTGCAGGCAGGCAAGACATCAACATCATCATACCAACCCTGGTGCCATGCTGAATGAGCCAAATTCTACAATAGTCTCGATGCCACCTGGCTCTGGCTCACAAGGGGACCCTGACACAGACATCACACTTGCTCGGAACCACTTCAGATATATGGATGCAGTAGAGACCCCTAACAAATTGGGTCCTAGTCGACCGCGGCACTACTACAAGTACTGGATCACACCGTGCACTCACGTGAAGATCCATTTCGATCGCCTTGCCCTCCTTGCCCTTCTGGACCGCAACCTCACATGGGACGAGACACTACTTTCACTTTTACTAGCCGTTCTGGTAGCAGCATTTGGCTCTCTGCTCCTTCAGTTAGGCTTCTTTCAAGATATATTTGCATTCATATTTTGTTTCGTGATAGCTGGGTGCCAGTATTCACTTATTAAGAGTGTCCAGCCTGATGCATCATCTCCCACGCATGGATTTAACCGCATCGTAGCATTCAGTCGGCCTGTGTACTTCTGTCTAGTTTGTGCCCTGGTGCTCATCTTGCACCAGGCTACTTTTTCAGAGAATGAAAGCTACAGTCAGACTACCTTCACTCTTTATGGAGTGTACTTCACAAACCAGGCAATGGTGAAAGTGTCACGCGATGTTCTAGTTACATTTCTTCTTTGCTTCCCTATTGTGTTCAGTCTGGGGCTCTTCCCCCAAATCAACACATTTCTTATGTACCTTTTGGAGCAAATTGACATACATGTATTTGGTGGTAATGCAACTTCCAGTTTACTAGCCTCAGCTTACTGCGTCTGCCGCAGCGTCCTCGTAGTGTGCTTCCTGTATGGGTTTGCTTTTGGTGCACTTAGTGAGCCAAAGAATTCCCAGCACATTCTGTTCTCAATATTCTGCGGCTTACTCGTCTCCACGGCCTACCACTTGAGTCGAAGCGCAAGTGACCCTTCTGGTCTCTGGAATATAGTAAAGAGACACTTGTGGCCTCCGCATGACTTTCTCCATGACCCTTCTTCCTCAACTGTACCAGGAAAACCTCAAAATAAATGCCATCGCCGTCCATATGTGCACCACGACCACTACCATCTTTATCAGTTGCCCCAGAAACAGAATGCTGTGCTGAATGAAAAGAGAAAGTGTAGTGGAACTGGTAAAAAAACTACAGCTGCTAACAGAACAGACTGTCCGTCAAATTGGAGTAGCAAGAAACAAAAGCCAAGCATGCCAGAATCTT